TGTTGCTTTTGATCTGCCTGAGCAACTATTACTTTGTCAATACAAGGAGTGCACACTCACCAAGGGCAATGCATGTCCATGAATTTTTACTGACTGCAAATGTAGCTCAGCACAGGCTAAACTACACTGGCAGAATGTAAGACCTTATATGCATTTTCTGTGCTGTTCTGTACAACACGTGAGGAATGCTAATCAGCATTTGAAAGGAAACGTGGGATTTCAAAGAAGACCCACCGAAATGCCAAATGGGAATATATATTCCCTTACCAGAAAGTCCAGTAGAACTTATGAGTCATCCAGGAGCAAATAACTCCCACTTCTTTTGCCTCACTCCTCCATTTCTGGCATAAAACACAATCATCATCCTCAAAAGATCAGGATCTTTCAGGTCTAGTATTTTTTCTTCTAGTAATGGGATTAAGAACATAAACAACAAACAAACCTAAAGGCTAAAAAAAACTGCATAATGATTGACATTTCCCTTCCCTGCACTGAATGTCAGTATTTCGGGTTCACCACAACTGCAGCCTGTCCCAGAAGATTCTCAATTCACACAGATCTTCTCGGCGGTGCTCAAGTCCTGGTGGCACCGTGACCCATTTTAGTTCCTGCCTGGAAATGGATCCTGAACAGCTGCAGGGCTCTGCGTGATGCTGAGGGACCAGGGGGACACAGAGCAGAGGGGGAAGGACTGCAGCACCGCCAGCAACACTGCTCTGCCTCTGAGATCAGGCAGCTCTGAGACAGGTGAACAGACAGCCAGACAGGCAAGGTGTGGGGGATTGCAGAGACAAAGAAGCTGGGGAGAGGAGTGAGAACAGAAAGAGGGAAAAATGGGACAGAGAGCCTGAGATATTAATAAGAAAGATCAGCTCTTGATCCTGAGCACAGGCAGCTTGAAAACATCCAGTCTGATGCAACGGGAGAAAGAGGAAGTTTATTTATTTATACTGGTTTTTCATCCTAATTGGCATATCCTGCATCCATCTAGCTGTGCTGGTGCACCTAAGGAAACACTGAACTCAAGGTAACCTAACTAGGCAACAAATCACCAGACAGTCTGTTTATTCAGAAATATCAACTGCTTTAACGCCAACAAGCAAAGGAGCAAGAAGGACACCCATCCCTCATCAAATGCAAACAAACTGAAGGGAGCAAAGCAATGAGTTGGGATTTTAAATCTCATTTAAGCTTGTCTAGGCTCTGCCCCCCCCCCCACTGCTCCCCTGCCCTACAAATGCCTTTAGCATCCATGCAAAACCTTGTCCCTGTAGAACTGCCCCCTTGGAGACACACACGGATGGACGGAGCAGTGAACCTGCCTCTCAGGCTGGAGACCTAAACAGCTCAGCTGTAATCTCTAATAAAAATATAAACTGTTCAGCACCTCTTCAAAAAAAACCACAAAAGCTTCCTGCATGCTGTGAACAAGATCTCTTTATTGAGAGCTTTACTTTTAATTTTGAACAGCTTCACAGCATTATCCTTAGCAGGATAAAAGAATAAAATAAAAAAAAATAAAAAAAAAAGAGCCCAGAGATTTTTGAGCTATTAGTCAACTGCCTGGTAGAGTTCCTCATTGAAATTAGCTTCTCCTAGCATCACAGTAAGGGAATTGCTGGTCTGCATCTCTTCCACAAGTCATTTCACATTTTTTAAAAATGCACAAAGTGCTGATTTCATTTCATCGAAAACTGAAAGCCACTAAAGCCACCACTGCTGGTGGAGACTCCCAATATCAGCACTTCCAGTACTCACTGTGCTAAGGGCACTGGCTCCAAGTTAAGCTCAGTGCTCCATCCCTGCTTTTTTGTATTTCTCTTTAATCTTATATGGGAAAAGAGTAGCAGTTCCCATCTCAAAAAAAAGTATTTTATTATTATACTAAACATGGAGAATAAAGAGCCAAATTCACCATTCAAAATTATTAAAATGTCACAACACTGAAGTATTTCACTAGGGTACAGAAATTTTCACTTGGTTCCAAGCCTGAAATTTAGCTTCTCACTCTCTTTTTTTTAAGGCAAGCTATAAAAACCAGGACCTTTTCAAAGGATGCAGGAAAAATACTTTTTCAAATGCTTTTTGATCCTACTTTGAATGGCAAATCTTATATTCATTTAAACACTTTTCCACAGTATTGGAAACTGAAAAGAGTTTCTAAACAAAGGGGGAAAGTAAACTGCCTCATTTCATTATCTCCAGGAGTAAAATCGCAAAAGCAAACAAAAAACCACCTGTGCCTTTCAACTGCACCTTTTATGTCATTGCAACACATTTCTTCAATTTTGTGCTGCATATACCAGTAACTGATTTCTCATTGCTTTCTGCCTCTCTCCAAATGAACACCTTCTGTAGGGGCTGGCATCAATGAAAACAAACGTACAGGTACCTGGATCACTGGATTCCTGACTCTGACATCAAAACTGCTTCTAAAATTTTGGTCTATTTCTTCTGATAATATAGTTGCACATTTGGAAGGACAATTTGCTGTTAAGAGGAAGGATTCTCTGGTCTCTTGCATACTTATCATTCCTACTGAATTTAACTCAAAGATGCACCTCTTGCAAACAGAATATAACCCAAAAGCACTGCTCATACATAGAGAACTAAAACCAAGTACATTCACAACAATTTTTACTATCAAATGTCAAAAAGCACAAGCACAGAGAGTAAAACCAATAAAGTAATTTACAAATGTTCAGTGTTGGTAGCTTCATTTTTATTAGTAAAACAGGGAAGGAGTGTTATTAAGGGAGGAGCTTGGCTCTAATCTGAATTTAGAAACTACCTCAAAGAAACCAAGGCAGTTTTACATTAGTGCAAGAAAGGTGCAACATCAAAACCAAGCCTGTGGCAGTGCTCTATTATGACATGATTTCTTTATAATGAAATATAGTGAAAGAAAATTAGTGGCACAAGGATTTTAATGCACCCCAGACACACATTTACAATGATTAAACAGATCAGTACTTGTAAAACCCAAGGGTCTAACTTTACAAACCTTTACTCAAGCAAGCAGTTTCACTGAAATCAATGGAATTATTTGCATATGTAAGGACTATTTATCTCAGCTGAGATCTGTAGGTTTAGGCCACACATTTCTATTTAGATCTTCTATGCAACAGAAACCACAAAGTCATATGAAGAACAGGAGAACAGTGGCACCTTAGAGATAATTTTCATTTCTACCAGTACAGTTTCCTTCAGCCCTCTGACGCATTTGGTAGTTTGGGCTGTTTCAAAATTGGAAATGTAGGCAAAAATACAAATTTATTGATGTGAAGAATGCTACTCATGGTTAATAAACAAAATCAATTCTAATTTGCATATTCAATCAGATTTTGGTTTGCATACAAAAGCATAAGATGGTAGAATTTTCACACGGTAGATGGGTCCTGCTCACTTATTCATGCATCTATGCATCCACTAATCCTTACACATGCCAAAATCAGTCAGAAATACTCTCTTTGCTAGGCATTCATAGCACAAAAACCCTGTCCCTGCTGCTGTTCTCAACCTTCTCTTTTCATATAGCGTGTGACAGCATTTTCCTGCAGCTTTCTCCCAAGACTCCGTAATAGCCCCTGTTCTCTATTAGTCTTCTTTTCACTAGGCAAAGTGATAGTTTGAATTTTTGAATCATAATTTAAAAGGGCTGCTGTCAACTGCATGTGAAGAACAAAAACACTGGACCAGATTTTCAAAGAAGCTTCAGCATCGACTTGACCATTTTGCTTGTAACTGTCACTGCAAAACTGAATGTTATCTCTCACGGTTAATACTGACGTGTTCTGGACTACAGCTAAAATTTGTAGATTTAGACTCTGCACACCTATTTTTCACACACATCCACTAGGAAATAGAATTTAAAATATGTATATAGTCCAGCTCTACCAAAATATACACTTAATATAGTCCCATACACCGTAAGTTTCATGATAAATGATAACCCTGCAAGCTACACTCCAAGGTGCTGAATGCCTGCAGCATCTGTGGGACCTGAAGGCAATCAGTGCTGAGAGCCATCAGATAACAGGTTTGACTGTCTTGTAGCCAGTCTGACAGTCTGGCTATCTAATTTGCATATAGAAGAGTGGCATATTCAAATGTATATAATTTTGTGCATTAAATTAAAAACTCAACTGGAACCCTGCGTGTGAAATCCCAGCTAGCTGCAAACAAGAAATGTTTTCATGTAATTAAAGAAAAAGATCATACAAATTATCATCAAAACTAAACTGCAATCTGCTGCAGCAGCCTTTGCCTTTACTAGGTCAAGCACAGGGGACCAAAAAAAGCAGAACTGCCTAGGGTAGCTGAAATTATCTGCTATATGCAGAAATAGTATTTCACTCTCCCAGATGAATGAAATACAAAAATTAGCCAGCATGAAGATGAAAGCTCCTATAGAATTTCTACAGCAATGCCAGCTCTGATCAATTGAAACCTTGTCAGCAGCAGGTTAAGGAGGTATTTATTTAACAACGGGACAGAATCTAATTGACTTTGCAGGAGAGAAGAGGAGCAGACAGGCAAGTGAGCACCCACTCTGCTCTTTGAATCTTACACAGCCCTTTTTGCAGGGCGGCAGGAGCACAATCCTGGCCCCTTGAGCACATATTTTGCCCTTTGTAAACACCAAGGACATACTCTTGTCCCTGTGCGGGGTCTCCCCTACAAAGGGCCGAGTTGCTGGTGGTCCAGGCGAGGGGACAGGGCTGCTGTGCTGTTCTGCTTCTGCAGAATGCCTCCCAGTGTCATCCCCGTGCGCTGCAGCACAGCCTGCTCCCAGCTACCGCAGCCAAACCCTCCGCTCCTTTCCTAGCTCTGAAGAATTTAAACTATCCATATAAATAACCAGAAAATAAGGGTTTGACCCAGTTACACAACTTAGGGCTCCCTGCATTCATTTGCTAATGCTAAATGTAATGGAAATCACAGCTTTCCTAAAAAACAGGCGGCAGAGCGAGGAAGAGAATTACTGCCTATGTTCCTACCTGCTTGGTTAGTTGTCACAGTGACTGACACAGCTTGGTCCTGGCTGGGGTTTTGCTTGGACACTCCATTCACTGCCCAGACTTCAAAGGTGTAGTTGGTGTGTGCCAGGAGGTCAGTAATGGAGACTTTGGTGGTTCTCAAGCCGTTCTGCTGGGGGCTGAAGTGCACACCGCTGCCGCAGGACCGGCAGCGGCTGAGGTCGCCGGCACCGCATCTCTTGCACACCACGTTGTAGGAGATGTCATCCCGACCACCTTTGTTCTGCGGGGGGCTCCACTCCAAGTTCACTGATGTCTCATTGACATTGGAAATCAGGTTCTGGGGAGCAGATGGAGGGCCTAAAAAGACAAAGTCCACATGTTTTTAGCAACTGGAAAAAGCACGGTAGGGTTGGACTTGATGATCTTTGAGGTCTTTTCCAACCCAGTTGATTCTATGACACACAGTACCATCAGACTTAGGGTCACAGACCTGTGCAGCTCTCATTTAAGTCAAGGACAGCAGAGACCAAACAGAATTCTACTTCTCTATGTTCTTAATGAAGGTGAAAAATTAACTGGCAAGTCAAACTCTAACCTTTTCATTTGATGAATAAACAGTATTTTCCAGCTCTAAATAAGCCTGAAAGCCCAGTATTGCAATTAAACAAGAGTGGGGCTTTTTCACTTTCACTATTTATACTTTTTATGCAAAATGTTAAAATCAGGTATTTTACATTCATTTTTGCAAGATCTCCTGAGCAAAGCATCAAATGCACAAACTGCTGCTTCACTGGAGATTTTCAAGGCAGACTCTCTTTGAAATTGTTGTAGAAATATCTCACAATAGTTTCTTTCTGAAAAATCAAAGTGCCATATTTTCCAGACAAGCTGATGTCAAATCACATTCAGCAAACACTGAAGGCCATCAAATAGGGACCTGGACATGACACACTGCGATGCAGGATGGAGATTTGAGTAGAAAACTGGACATAGAACTGAGGCTTTGAAGGATGGGGAATAAAGGTTACAATAAGAGAGTGCTGGAGAATGTGAAAGAATTGGAGACAAAAATCTGGTGAGCAGCTGAACAAAGTGGTGATAAAAGAAAACTCATCAGGAATGAAAGCCCAGACAGAAAGCTTGGAAGTAAGGCTGAATCTGAGAGACAAGGTCAGCTCTGCCACCACAGGGACAGGAGACTTTAAGACTTGTAAACACACTGCCAGAGAGTTTCCAGCTGGTTCTAGCACAGGGACTATGGGAGTTGAGGACAGAGCTGAAGGCAGGCCGGGTACAATCTTCCTGAGCAGGAGCAGGGCCAAGTTGGGTGCAGGGAAGGAGTGGGGCAGGAGCAGGGCAGAGCCCACAGGCAGCTCCTCCAGCATCTGCTGGGACTGTCTTGGTTGGTTCTGCCCGACCAGGCAAGCTGCCACCAGCAGGGCCCTGTCTCACTCTGAACCAATGCACAGGCAGAACTCCTATTTATATGCTTAAATCCCCACAGGCCCAAATCCCACAGGCAAACTGAAAATGCAGAAGAGCTAATCCTGTGACTCTTAATCTAATTTCAATACAGTTGAGACATGCTTTTTTTGTACCTTTAAATTTAACAAGGATGATACAGAGTGAACCCAGGAGAAAGATGGGTGTTTTATATATCCCAGAAAGCTTCCCTGACTATGGAAAGGCAGCCTGCTCTGGGGCAAAGCACAAAACCACTCTGACTGTGCACACAGCAGTTTGGGACAGGACAGCAGGTAAGCACTGTATTGAATAGAAATGAAACAGAATGAGAATGAAGCTTGTAAAATATAATGATTTGAACCAGAATCCTGTAAAAATAGCTGTCCCTAGTAGCTACTCATAGTCAGAGCTTTACATACAAATTATTAGCAGGAAAATACTGGAAATAATTTTGTAGAAAGTCACAGATTCAATTTTTATTCAAGACACAAGAAAGCTCATAAAAGCTTCTTAAATTTTATCTAAATACTTTTGATGTCTGGAGTTAAAAAAAATAAATTCAACCAGATCTCCTGGCAGAAAAGGAAGGAAAAAAGTAACTTCTGGCAGATTTTATTCTAGTTTTTCCACTTTTTTATTTGTCAAATGTTATGAAACTGGGGGGAAAATATCAGCCAGCATCAACAGCTTCATTAAGTGTATAAATCAGTTATAGTCTCTCATAAGCCAAAGGTACAAAAACAGCCATCAGGGTAAGATGGGAACAAATACATTACAGTGAAATTCTGCTGAAATTACAAAGTGACTCCTCAAGTGTAGCAGTGAAGAAGTTAAGCTGTTAAGAGGTGACTATATGGGGAAGATTAATTCTGGCTCCCTCAATTCATCAGGTGCATCTCAAAGGAAGCCTGAGAACTGAGCACACTGTGCAGTACAAGGTTTTGAGGGCTGTACAACCTCCTTGGGTCTGTGCTTGAAGCTGCCAGGATGTAACACATTGTTCAACAGGAGACAGACTTATTTTGGGAGAGGTAGGTAGTTGAAGAAATCAAGAAAAGAGTCTTAAATTACACAGAGGTCAAATATATCTAGTTATCTTCGGTACCTAAATGAAAGGTCTGTGATGCAGGAGTAGCTGAGCAGATTGTTTCTCTGTGCTCATTTCAGAAATACAAAATTAATATATTAATTTTGAGAAGAGGGAAATCCTCCCTTCCTGCCATATCTTTGAAACAGTCTCTGAGTTAATTAGGGTTGACAGGTAGAATTAATGCAAGAAGAGAGAGCTGGGGCCAGCCCCTGTGATGGGGAGCCCTCCTGCCTGCTGCACCACTGGGCTGCAATTCATGACTTTTATTTGTACACTGGCAGCATTTCGGACTCCTAAGGACAAAATCCTTTTACTCAAAGATGAGTTACTGATCACAGTAAGAGACATTTCCTGATCCAAAAATGCTTAGAAACTAGACAAGAAAAAAAAAGAAACTGGTCTTAATCTTTGTTAATCATGTGGAAATGGAGGCAGAGATGTGGTGAGACAAGGGCACACGTGACATGCCACGCACACCTGGGCACTGGTCACAACCGTCCCAAGTCTCAGCCCAATGCCTCTGTCCCAAAACAGACTCTCCTTCCCCCAAAAGCTGGCTTTGCCAGCTCCCCTGGGCAGGAGAAAGCAGCCTCTGTTTAGCCTGCAAATACACGAGCCTCCTTTTCAAAAATACACTCGGAGTGCAATGAGGTGGAAGACACTTCTGAAATGGTGAACTCAAGCGGCAGCACAGGAACTGCTGAGCAGGAACTGATCTAAACTCCATCTACCCCAGACCTCCCCAAACTGCCTCACACCTGGGCTCTCTCTTCAGGGCAGGCAGATTCACAAGATTACAATGTCTGACCCTCCACACTGTCGAGGAAGCAGAAGAAACAAAAAAAGCCTCTGGAGAGAACGAGCAGCCTCAGCAGACCACAAGCCCAAGGCCACTTTGTGCAGCAAAGGTTTGCCCTGGCCAGAGCAGCTG